TGGGTAGCCCAGGTCAGATCTCAGAAGCTAAGCAGGGTCAGCCCTGGTGAGGACTTGGATGGGAGACCACCCAGGAAGTCCAGGGTAGCTATGCAGAGGCCGGCCATGGCAAACCACGCCTGAACGTCTCTTGCTTTGACCTAGGTAGCCAAGGCTAGCCCCATCTTGTCAGAGTTCACAAATTTAAGAACATAAAAGAAGCCAGGTTGGATCAGGCCAACGGCCCATCCCGTCCAACACTCGGTGCCACACAGTGGCCAAAACCCAGGGGCCATCAGGAGGTCCACCAGCGGGGCCAGAACTCCAGAAGCCCTCCCACTGTTGCTTCCCCCCAAGCACCAAGGAGACAGAGCATCCCTGTCCCAGACATAAGAACATAAGAGAAGCCTTGTTGGGTCAGGCCAATGGCCCATCCAGTCTAACACTCTGTGCCACACAGTGGCCAAAACCCAGGGGCCATCAGGAGGTCCACCAGTGGGGCCAGAACTCCAGAAGTCCTCCCACTGTTGCTTCCCCCCAAGCACCAAGGAGACAGAGCATCACTGCCCCAGACATAAGAACGTAAGAGAAGCCGTGTTGGGTCAGGCCAATGTCCCATCCAGTCTAACACTCTGTGCCACACAGTGGCCAAAACCCAGGGGCCATCAGGAGGTCCACCAGCAGGGCCAGAACTCCGGAAGCCCTCCCACTGTCGCCCTCCAAGCACTAGGAAGACAGAGCTTCACTGCCCCAGACAGAGGGTTCCCTCTACACCTTGTGGCTGACAGCCACTGATGGACCTCTGCTCCATATGTTTACCCAGTCCCCCCTCTTGAACCTGTCTGTGCTCATACAAACATAAGAGAAGCCATGCTGAAGTTAAGCAGGGTTGGCCCTGGCCAGTATTTAGATGGGAAAGCACCAAAGAATACCGGGGTCGTGACGCAGAAGCAGGCCATGGCAAACCTCCTCTGAACCTCTCCTGCCTGGAAAACCTACAGGGTCGGCATAAGTTGGCTGCAACTTGACGGCACTTTCCACGGACGCGCCTGGACTTTCCCCGTCGCACCTTCAGTGGCAGCCTTTCCAGCGCCCCAGTCCTCCCCGCAATCACCATTCCACAGCCAGAGGATGTGCTCCTTTGCAATTCACACGTCTAATACAGTACTCTAGCCAGCTGCTCTTGCTCAGGATCATCTACCTCACAGGGCCGTTGTGAGGCCAAAAGGAGAAAGGGAGAACAATGGATGCGATGGCGGTTTTGTCAATTACTGATTTTAAAAGTGCACAATAAGGCCACCTGGTGGTGGAAGGCGGGAAATGGGGGGGATGCGGGGGGGGGGAATGCACCCTGTAGACACATTGTTTCAGTGCACCGCGTGGGCACTGACGGCAGCCATGAGAAAACCCCACATGTCACCATCAGGAGGAGACCACTGTGATCAATGACAATGACACTTATAATAAATTTTACATAGAAACAAAGTCCAACAATTTTAAAGTAGGCTTTTGCCACATAAAATCATGGACTGCTTGCTACAAATAGACATTCAATTTATTGGCCTGCTCCTACTTAAGGAATGCAATGGAACTGATAATTCATAGAAGAAAACACCTTCCAACTCTATAAGAACTATAAGATTACTCTTGAGGAAGATAATGAAATGAGTGTAAAAACCGGTGTACTCATTGAGTAATGTGAGGGATATGCTATACTCTGTTGTGAATATGAATAAGTTGGATTCTGTTTTTAATGTAATATTGAGTAAATGAATTGTTGGACTTTGTTTCTATGTAAAATTTATTATAAGTGTCATTGTCATTGATCACAGTGATTTCCTGTTTTTTGATATGTTACTGTACACTGTGACCCCTGTTTGTATCTTGTTGTATTGACCATCAGGAGGAGGTCACTTTAAGTTCAATATATATATATTTTTTGTCATCAATGGTTGCCAACTTATGGTGACCCCTTCTGGGGTTTTCAAAGCAAGAGACGTTCAGAGGTGGTTTGCCATTGCCGGGCTCTGCAAAGCAACCCTGGGCTTCCTTGGCGGTCTCCCATCCAAGGACTAACCAGGGCCGACCCTGCTTAGCTTCCGAGAGCTGACCTGACATCCGGGTCAGGGCTAAGACTCAAGACAGGATCATATTTTCAAAATCCCGTTGGAGCCACTGCAAAAAACACAGTCAGAATTCGACTCCAGACACGTGGTGTTGTGTGTGTGTGTTTTTTTTAAGGGACTCTAATGTAACAATAGGAGCTGCGGTGGCTCAAGTGGTTAAGACGCTGAACTGCAGGCTGTGGAAGGTCGGTAATCCAGCAGTTCGAGACCCGAGGGTGCCGCATGACGGAGTGAGCTCCCGTCTCTAGTTCCCGCTCCTGCCAACCTAGCAGTTCGAAAGCAAGACATTGCAAGTAGATAAATAGGTACCACTTCGGTGGGAAGGGAACAGTGTTCTGTGCGCCTTGGTGTTTAGTCATGCCGGCCATATGACCACGGAAACGTCTTCGGACAGCGCTGGCTCTTCGGCTCTGAAACGGAGATGAGCACCGCAACCCTAGAGTCGGACTCGACTTGCTTTCGAGCAAGAGAACCTTTACCTTTAATGTAACAATAATAGATGTATCAGATCCGTAATGTCTTACAACTGTAGCAGCACTCTAGTTCCTAACAGTTTATATCCAGGACAGCTTTTCCTGCCTTTATTTATTTATTTCTTCACGGTTCAAGGTGGCTTCCGATAATTGTTTAAAGTATTTTCGATTCAAAACCAAAAATAAAGTCGCAGATCTCTCCCCCTCTTAAAAAGATGCCTGCCCATTCAGACCCCCTCCAAAGCCCTGGCAAACAGGGAGGCCTTGCAGCGCCTCCCGGAGGTCTCCAAGGAGGCCCCCCCTCCTCCTCTTCAGGGAGCCCATTCCGCAGATGGAAAAGGCCCCGGTTCTGGTGGGTGCAAGACGGGACACCCTAAGCGGTGGGAGAGCCAAGAGATGGCTGCCCGATGACCGTAGCTGGCACACAGGGATATATGGAAAGAGACAGTCCTTCAGATAAATGTCTAGCTCATCTGCTGAGGCTCCATTCCCACCTTCAGGAGTGAGGCTGCAGGGCCTTTTTAGTTGTGCCCCTCTCTGGGATTTATCCCTTATCCACCACAGGCCCACTCCCAAGACAGGTAGCAAAAGGTTTTCGTTTGCTCTGGAGAGTAGCTGGGGTCTCAGTGACCCCGGCACCCTTTGAATGAAACCTACACATCCAGACGTGCACGAAATGGAATACGAGGGGCTGATAACATTACAAAGCCATCAATATGTGGAAAGGGAAAGAAATAATTATTGCCAGTTCTCTTCCACTTGCCAAGCAACAGAAGGAAGAGGAAGAGAAGAGGAGGAGACTGGATTTATACCCCGCCCTTCACTACCCAAGGGAGTCTCAGAGTGGCTTACAAACTCCTTTCCCTTCCTCTCCCCACGACACACACCATGTGAGGTAGGTGGGGCTGAGAGAGCTCTGACAGAAACTGCTCCTTTTCAAGAACAGCTCTTGTCAGAACTATGGCTTGCCCAAGGTCACATCAGCAGGTGCAAGTGGAGGATTGGGGAATCAAACCCGGTTCTCCCAGATTAGCGTTTGTACACTTAACCCACGACACCAAACTGGCTCTGAGTCCTCAGAGCAGACACGTTCCCTGGTCCGTACCCCCCAGACCCATCTCCAGGGCCAAAGCTTCCCTTCCGGCCGTCTGCAGGGGCCATGAGAGGGAGGGCAAGAAGGGCCAGGCTCTCTCTCGCTCTCATTCACAACCACGTCTACCCCACAGGGCTGGTTGTGAGGATCAAATTAAGGGAGAACTGACCGGGTATGGCCGGGAAGGGGGAAATGACCCTGCAAAAGGGCCTTGTACCCCACCCTGGAAGGAGAGGCCGCCCCTCCACACCCAAGAGAGGCAGGCAGGCAGGCAGGCAGGCAGGCAAGGAAGGAAGGAAGGAAGGAAGGAAGGAAGGAAGGAAGGGAGAAAGAGAGAAAGAGAGAAAGAGAGCAAGAGAGAAAGAAAACCCAAGAGAGGCAGGCAGGCAGGCAGGCAGGCAGGCAAGGAAGGAAGGAAGGAAGGAAGGAAGGAAGGAAGGAAGGAAGGAAGGAAGGAAGGAAGGAGAGGCAGGCCGGGGGCAGGCTCCCTTGCACTGCACCAAGACTGAGCGGGCCAGGCGTGGCTGTTGTGCCCCTGGGTCAGATCAGGGCAGGTAAGAGGAGAGGGCCACTGGCCCACTGGGAAAAGTCCCGGTTGCCATCGCAGCCAGTCCGCCCATGAGAAAGAGAGATGCCACCCTGAGCTGTTTGCAGGAAGCATGGGAGGAGAAGGTGCTGTGCGCTGGTGTTCCCCCTCCGCCCCCTCCGGGAGAAGTGCAAATCCAAAAAATAACATTCCAGATAGGCCCCGACTGACCAAATCTTTCTTCTCAGCACGCGCTGGCTTTGGAAGGGTGATTTCATTTGGGAGGGGGGGCAACGCTCCCTCTAAGCTGTGGAGTCCTGTGAGCAAAAGTTCTACTCTGTGAGCAACTGGCACTAAAGTTGTGAGTGAGTGATTTGGCTGCTGCATAAATCCGTTTGCTCTGGAGCCCTCCTCCCTGAGCAAAGACAAAAATGTGTGAGCTGGAGGCTAAAAAACTATGAGCTAGCTCACACTCACTCAGCTTAGAGGGAACCCTGGAGGGGGGTACTCAATCCCGTCCCCTGCTGACCTCCAGGAGACGATTTAACTCGTGGTTCTGCTGAATTCATAAAGTGGGCCAGAGGAAGTTCCACAGCAAAACTCACCAGCGTGAGCGGAGCGATCAGTTCATGCACCTATCCAGCAGGCTATATTGGGTGCCACCTTCCTTTGGAGTTAAACTGAAAGGGTGGCATTCCAACCGAAGTACGTTAACTGATCTGGCCACCTGTAAAGTGCTCCAATGACTGCCAGGCCCCCAGGGAAGCTTGGTAAAAAAACAAAACAAAACAGATGTCGTTTACCTTGCTGGTTGCCGTGGCCCCAGAGCCAAGCCCCACGGGGACGTTGGTCACCTGGACCGACAAGTACTGGTTATCAATGAGCGGCCAAGCCCCCTCCACTTTACAGGTCTGGAATTCGTCTTTAAATGTCCGCAGGTGGGGGTCTCCAAAGAGCCCACAGTGAGCAAATCTGGTTTGGAGACTGGATCGGGCTCGGTAGCTGCACATGTCGGAGAGCAGGGGGTCGGCGGCTCCGGGGACTCTGGCGGAGGAGGTCGGCCCGTCACTCGAGCAGTTCTGCTGCCCAAAGAGTTCTTTGATCCGGAAGACTGCCGAGTGGTACACCAGATCGCCCCGGCACAAGCGGGCCATCTTCCGGGTGCAGAGGGAATAGGCCCGCAGAGCCATGCAGTAGTCTGTGTGAGGCAGGGTCTCCTCCGTCGCCGGAGAGGTGGCGGCTACGTAGTCCGCATTACAGCGCTGGATGCGGCACGGCTGGCCATCCGCTGTGACAAGAGAGACACACAACAATGAGGACTGCCTGCCTACCGACTAAGCCACTCCCACCACACACACCCTTGCTCCACCCCCTCGCTATCCCTCCTCACCGTTCCTGGCAGAACACTTTCTGACAGTTTTACAACAATGAGATTCTTTGGTCGGGGCTAGAACTGCTCATAAACCCATCACATCACACGAACCACACGTGGAGCTGCCTTGTACCGAGTCGGACCCTGGGTCCATCAAAGTCAATATTGCCTACTGAGACTGGCAGCAGCTCTCTAGGGCAGAGATGTAAAATTTCCAGAAATTCTGAAGCGTGGAAACCCCCCCGGGTTTTTCCCCAGTTTTTTTCGGGGGGGGGACAGAAGTTTTTGGAAAAATTGGGGGGAAAGCTACATTAGCACTTCTTTTTTCTTTTCCAGATTGAAAGTCATTCTGTTACTTTAGGAACATAAAATATGACTATGGACATTTTTACTTAGCATGAAATTCTCACAACTAGCCTATTAAAAACATAGTGTATCCAAACAATTATTACAAACAGAATACCCACCCACATGCAAAAACAAAACTGAAACCTTTTTCTTTTCTTCTGACAACCGCACCTCCTAAAGGAGGAAATGCATCTTGTTCTTGCATTGGAGAGCCCAGTTTGTAACCTAGGACTTGCTTGTCCTCGGTGCACAGAAATTAGATCAATCTGATACCATACATATTTTTTAGAAATGATCTGGAAAATATTTGAACACCTTGTCTTAAAATATTTTATTCGCCATGTTAAAATAAAATGTTCCATAATCAATTTTTTTTCTTTTTTCAATTTTTCGGGAAAAAAACAAAAAAGGCTTCAGGAAAAAAATGTTTTTCCCCGGGCCTTCACATCTCTACTCCAGGGTCTGGGGTCTTTCACATCACCTGATCCTTTAACAAGAGATGCCGTTGATTGAACCTGGGACCTCCTGCATGCCAAGCAGATGCTCTGTCACAGCCCCTCCACGGCAGCCACGATCCAGCACATTTCCCTGGACGCCTCGGTTCTCCCTGTTCCACCTCCAGCTTAAAGATGCGGGAGAAGGAAACGCCGAAATGTGCAGCTGAGATTCCAGCCACGAGCCACCCTGACAAGGCAGCCTGCCTTAGTGGTTCCCTCTAGAGACCGCATGTGCGGAGGCCAAGCAAGGAACAAGACCCTTTGGCCCTCCCTTCCCTAAACCCCATCCTGCTTGGGGGGGAGGCTCAAACCCTCAGGCCCCACCCCCATAAATAAAGGTAAAGGTTCCCTTGCTCGAAAGCCAGTCGAATCCGACTCTAGGGCTCCTCTCCGTTTCAATGCCGAAGAGCCAGCACTGTCCGAAGACGTTTCCGTGGTCATGTGGCCGGCATGACTAAACACCAAGGTGCACGGAACGTTGTTAGCTTCCCACCGAAGTGGTCCCTATTTATCTACTTGCAATTTCTTGCTTTCGAACTGCTAGGTCGGCACCCCCTATAATCTCCAGGAATTTCCCAACCTGGAGTTGACAACCCTGCCCAAAATTGTTAATGAACTGGTCTAGAAACCTCCTTTCAAATGATCTTGACTGTGTGCCTGAGGGACAATTTGAGTCCATATTGGGAATTTCGACAAACATTTGGAACAGAAGTCCATCCATGGCTATTACCCAGAAGGTATGGAACACTCTTATCTGGGGCAGGGATGCTCTGCATTCTTGGTGCTTGGGGGGGATGACGACAGCGGGAGGGCTTCTGGAGTTCTGGCCCCGCTGGTGGACCTCCTGAGGGCACCTGGGCTTTGGCCACTGTGTGTGACCCAGAGCATTGAACTGGATGGGCCACTGGCCTGATCCAACATGGCTTCTCTTATGTCTGGGACAGGGATGCTCTGTATTCCTGGAGCTTGGGGGGCAACAGTGGGAGGACTTCTGGAGTTCTGGCCCCACTGGTGGACCTCCTGATGGCACCTGGGCTTTGGCCACTGTGTGTGACCCAGAGCGTTGGACTGGATGGGCCATTGGCCTGATCCAACATGGCTTCTCTTCTGCTCTTGTTTTCAGTGGTGGGGAAAATTAGCCCTTAAACAAGTGTGGTAGAACACATCAGGAAGAGCCCTGCCGGATCCAGCCATCCTGTCTGACACTGGAGCTGACCTCAGAAAACCTCCAAGTACAGCTAAGAGTCCACAGCTTTTACTTTTATCTATCTACAGTCCATCTTTCTCCATCAAAGCGGATTAGGCAGAGTGATTCAACAGAAACCGGCAGGGTGGGACGCTCACTAAACAATGCAATGGAACTTGGATTCTAGAAATCTGGAATCAACCAGACATCTGAAAAGAGAACTGAAGCAAAGCAGAAGCATTAACAGGATATGTTACAGCGATGCAAAAAATTATATTTTTGCTTCCCTCCCTCCCCCGCCCAGGCACTGGCACCAGACCAATAGACTGCCTCCGGACATGGAGGTTTCACTTGGCCGTCGTGGCGAATAGCTGCTAATTGGTCCACAAATCTGCCTATTAAAAAACAGGGCAATGCTCCTGAATGGTTTCTCAATCTCATAAACGCCGATCATAAACCATGGTGCAATAGCACCTGCAGTACAAAGTGCCTTCCCCTCCCCACCCGGGAGCAACAGAGGGTGGTCGTAACGCAGGGATGATCCCCCCCCCCAGCACCTGCCGGCTCCCTTTATGCAAATCAAGCCCCCCGCAGGCCTCCAAAAGAACAAGAAATCTTGCTTTTTGCCCTTTAGGAGGAGGGCGGGAATAAAAACGGAGAGTGACATCGCTGCAAGGGGCGACCGGCCAGCGGAGCCGCACCAAGAGGAAGACCCTCGGTCCCTCAAGGTCAGTATTGCCTACTCCGACTGGCAGCTGCTCTCCAGGGTCTCTGGCGGAGGTCCTTCCCATCACCTCCTGCCCAGTCCTTTTTTAGCCAGGGATGGAACCTGGGACCTTCTGCATCCCAAGCAGAGGCTCTTCCACTAAGCCACAGCACGCACACACACACCCAAAAAGCCGAAGTCACACGTGAAGCTGCCTTCGACTGGATCTGACCATTGGTCCATCAAGGTCTGTATTGTCTACTCAGACTGGCAGCGGCTCTCCAGGCCTTTCCCGTTGGCAACTCGAATGATAAAGGGGTTGGAACACTTTCCCTATGAGGAAAGGTTAAGGCGCTTGGGACTCTTTAGCTTGGAGAAACGACGACTGAGGGGTGACATGATTGAGGTTTATAAGATTATGCATGGGAAAGAGCAGGTAGAGAAAGAGGTACTTTTCTCCCTTTCTCACAATACAAGAACCCGTGGGCACTCCATGAAATTGCTGAGCGGTCGGGTTAGAACGGATAAAAGGAAGTACTTCTTCACCCAAAGAGTGATTAACACTTGGAATTCACTGCCACAGGAAGTGGTGGCGGCTACAAGCATGGACAGCTTCAAAAGGGAATTAGATAAGCATATGGAGCAGAGGTCCATCAGTGGCTATTAGCCACAAGGTATAGATAGGGGCTCTGGGGCAAGTGATGCTCTGTCATCTTGGTGCTTGGGGGGGGTCAACAGTGGGATGGCTTCTAATGTCCTGGCCCCACTGCTGGACCTCCTGATGCCACCTGGTATTCCTGGCCACTGTGTGATACAGAGTGTTGGACTGGATGGGCCTTTGGCCTGATCCAACATTGGCATCTCTTATGTTCCTATGTTCTTATGTTCTTACTTGGTGCTATTAACGGGAGATGCTGGGGATTGAGCCTGGGACCTTCTGCACGCCAAGCAGAGGCTCTGCCACTGAGCCACGGCCCAGCCCCCCCCCAGAGCAACGCACAGTCTCCCCCTGTCTTTGGGGAGGAGGGGCCTGCGGCCCAGCGAGAAACAGGGGAGCCGGGCCAGCTTGCAGGCCCAGCTGGCGGGAGGCAGAAAGGGGCCTTTGTGCTGCAGACACGTTCGGCTTGTTTTCTTTGGCAAAGGTTGGCTCCTCACTCGCACACTGGAAAAACAAACCTCCCCCCCCCCACGGCAGGACGGTCTGCCCCTCGTGTGTTCTCAGAGAGGGGCCCCAGCCATTTGGGGGGGAGGGGGGCACAGCATGGCTTTCCCTGTTCAAACCAAGGCCCCCAAACGGCGCTTCATGCTGACTCAGCTCACGTCATGCCTTTGGCGGGACCGTGGGACCTCTGAGATTATACAGAGTGCCTATTCTTGGTCGATTCGGGCAGGGAGCCGTGTTGGTCTGAAGCAACAGAACAAAGTCGGAGTCCAGCGGCACCTTTGAGACCAACAGAGTTTAATTCTGGGTTTTCGCTTCCGTGTGCATGTACTCTGTGTGTACACAGGAAAGCTTAGGCCAAGAATTAAACATTGTTGGTCTTAAAGGTGCCACCAGACGCAAACTTTGTTCTATTCTCGATGGACTGACACAGATGCCACAGTTGCTGTTGCTTGACAGGATTAACAGCCACTATTAACTCATTACCAATATGAGTTTCACTGGGCACAGATGTCTCTGGGAATCTCGCAAGCAGAGCGGCTGTCGCTTAGACAGCCGGGGTTTCAGGACCAACCATGCACAGATGTTTCAGGACCAACCACGCACAGTTCTTTTGTCACTCAGGCCACTCCCACGGCTAGGTGTCTTCATTAAGTAAATGGGCCATGTGGTTTCCTCCTTGTGGCTGCTGATACAAGCAGCGTGCACTGTCCCTGCCCCCTAGGGTTGCCAACTTTGGGTTAGGACATTCCTCCTCGTTGTGGCTGCTGATACAAGCAGTGGTGCACTGTCCCTGACCCCCAGGAAATCTGGAGGTGGAGCCTGGGGGGGGAGTGGGGTTTGGGAAGAGGAAGGTGCTCAGCAGGGTATAGAATGCCAAAGAGCCCACCCCTCCAACACAGCCATTTTCTCCAGGGGAACTGAGCTCTGCCGTCTGGATAGCAGTTGTGATTCCAGGAGATCTCCAGGCCCCACCTGGAGAACGGCAACCCTGCCCCAGTTCCTGGCTCATATAAG